TTCAAGCATTCCAAGCAATTCGGGCATTTCAAGCAAATTGAAGAACTCATGCTCTTATGACAATACCTTTCAACATCATGCTGTCACAACAATATTGCTCAAGAACATGCTCTAGCAATACTCAGATCAGCACTCAATGCCAACAAAAAGGACATGCCAAATTCTCAACAAAAAGCAGCATGCCAAGCAAAACTTATACACAAGCTTTCCAACCATCCTAGCTAGAGCATCCCACCTTTAGAAAATCACTATAAATCAAGCTTACAACCAACAAATCCCAAACTTTCCAGATAAGAACTAGACATATCAAGCTTCATTTTCCCAAAATTTCGTTGCATTTCAAGCTAGGGAAGCATGTCAAACAGATTTCTAAGACAGCCCACACAGCAGAAACTGTACAGCTCCAGCACCTTAACCCTTACTTTGAAATTCCACCGAAAATTCATTTTTTCTTCAAGTGATGCAAGACCAATTCCAACATAACCATTGAGAAGTCCATTTTTATGTCTCAAAAGCTCCAACTCAGATTCGAAAAGAAACATTTCAAAAGTTCAAAAAGCAGCCAGCAAGCTACTTTGAGATATTTTGACAAACACTTGGCATGCATACCCAAGTGAGCTTGTATAACTCTTGTTTATCACCAAACTAGAATCCTAAATCAAAAGCTCAACCTTAGAATTCGATTTCTAGTTCACAAATTCTGGGAAATACAGAGGAACTCAAGCATTCAAGCATAGAAGACAAGCATGCAACAAAGGCATCAACATCAACTCATGAACATGCTTTAGAAAAATGGAGGTAGAGAGCACTAGAATGGGTGGATGATCCTCAATTTTGGATATGTTATAGACAACATAATTTCAAGCAAATTTTGTGAAGCAAGCGCAATCATACGAGTATCATAAGTTAAAGACACATGCAGAAGAAAAATCTGCAAAAACTCACCAGCCATGGATGAATTCAGAAGTTGCAAACCAGCTTTGAGGTATCAGAAAAATTCAAAAAATTCTGAAAATTTTACTGGCTATAGTACTCGAGGAGCTGAACAACTTTGATCGAGGAAGTTTTCTGATCTGAGCTTCCGAAATATGACTTATGTACTGATGCACAATACCCACGGGTTTGGGTCTTGAAGAAGAAGAAGAAAGAAGAGAATGAGAGAAAATCAGAAAATAAAGCACATCATGCCAAGTTCAGCCTGTTTATATACAAAAAAGAGGTCAGAGCAAGATTAAAGTAAGAAGAGGAAAAGGTAGAAACCCATACCAACAGTTTTGTTCACACGGAAATTGGCACCCTTCCAGCAACTCGAGCAAATCAAAGAAAAGGGAATCCCAGAAGATTAGTGTGAGCCCTTCCTTGCTAGCACCCACGTTGTAAGCACTCACGTTGCTGCAATAACAAAATAGGTCAAAAGAGGGTTTGATGCTTGACAACCAAAACAAAGGGCAATATTCTTGGATGAAGGGAACCCAACAAATTCCTCAATAAATCCAAGAGAAAGCTAGAGAAGGGACATACCTTGCTAAAATCCCAACAGGTGACTTTGAATATACCAAGAAGGGAGCGAAATTGAGAATCATAGAGAAAAACCCGCACAAAAAGGTCCCTTCTGGCAACGGCAGAAGGGCTTCTTCGAAGGGAGAAGGGCTGAAGGGGTTGAAATCGACTTGGGCTCTTTTCCCAGCGGCGGGAGGCAGATGTTTTCCACTTGATCTTACTCTCTCACTCAGTTTTGAGCTGGGGGAACAAGGGAAAACGAAGAAAAGAAAAGTAGGAAGAAGTTGGATCTGGTGCAAGAAAAGGGAAGAGAAAGAAAGAAAATAATAAAAAAGAAAGGAAGAAGGCGTTTGGCATTGGGAAACTGCAAATAACCGCTGGGGCCAATTATGACACGTCGTCATTTTGCATGCGGGAAGAAGAGAAGTTCTCTACAAATACAAATCTGATTTTTTTGGGTCGGGTTTAATTATTCGGCCCATTCCAGCACCTGTTCTGTTTCAAATATCCTTCCACCACTTGCCATGTTTTCAAACATCCTTCCAGCACATGCCCTATTTCAAACACCTTGCCAGCACCTGCTTTATTTCAAATATCCTTCCAATACATGCCAATGCCAAGCATCCAAGCATACAAGCCCAAAATCAAGCATACATAACTAATATTAGATACACAAGTCAATGCAACTCTTGCAAACCACAATCATGCAAAATCAAGCCTCTCTAGTCACTCAAGCAAATAAATCACGCAAGGTAAGTAGTTATCTTGGGCTAATCCATCAAGCATTTTCTTCTATATCATGCCACAAAATAGGTCAACTCTTGGTAACTCTAGTAAATGACCTCCAAAATTACAGTGTCTAGGAAAGTTCTTCAAGGCAACACCCTTGGTGTTTAAGAAGGATTGGGTTTTAAGTGGGACCATTGCGACCCCTCCAACCTTCCCGGAAAAGACCTGGCTGTAATTTCAGAGACCCTTAACTAGTCATCCTTGAGCTGCCCCTAAACTCATGTCATGTCATGCCACTGCAATTTATTTTAGGCAGAAAATTGATTATTCGGACCATTTCAATACACATTTTTTTTTTTTTTTTTTTTTTTTTTTTTTTTTTTTTTTTTTTTTTTTTTTTTTTTTTTTTTTTTTTTTTTTTTTTTTTTTTTTTTTTTTTTTTTTTTTTTTTTTTTTTTTTTTTTTTTTTTTTTTTTTTTTTTTTTTTTTTTTCCAATTTTAAAATAAACACCCCGGGGGTTTTTTTTTTTTAAAAAAACCCCAAAAAAAAAAAATTTTTTTTTTTTTTTTTTCCCCCCCCCCCCCCCCCCCCCCCCCCCCCTTTTTTTTTTTTTTTTTTTCCCCCCCCCCCCCCCCCTTTTTTTTTTTTTTTTTTTTTAAAAAAAAAAAAAAAAAAAAAATTATTTTTTTTTTTTTTTTTTTTCCCCCCGGTCATGAGGCTATCAAGTCAATGTCATTGTGTGAAGTAGGCTCCACGAAGGTTTCAACCAATAGGCTCCACGACGGTTTCGACCAGAGCTACAGATACAAATAAATGCTGAAATTAACAAGTTAATAAATGCTAGGTTCATTCGAGAAGTCCAGTATCCTACTTGGCTCCCAAGCATTGTCCTTGTAAAAAAGAAGAATGGTCAAATACGTAACTGCATAGATTTAAGAGATCTTAATAATGCATGTCCGAAAGATGAATTCCCTCTCCCGATTACCGAATTATTGGTGGATGCAACGACTGGATTTGGGGCATTATCTTTCATGGATGGGTTTTCAAGATATAACCAAATCAAAATGGCACTTGAAGATGAAGAGCTTACTGCATTTCGAACCCAAAAGAGGTTTATTGTTATACTGTGATGCTGTTCGGTTTGAAAAAATGGTGGTGCAAAATACCAAAGAGCCATAAAAATCATCTTTAGCAACATGCTACATAATACCATCGAATGTTATGTGGATGATTTGGTTGTAAAAACCAGAAAGAGAGCATCATTTAAATACCTGAAACAGGTTTTTGATATGCTCCGAAAACATGAGTTAACAATAAACCCTTTGAAATGCGCATCTGGAGTGACGTTAGGGAAATTCCTGGGTTTTGTAGTGAGACACCGTGAAATCAAAATTTCCAAAATCAATGCAATCCTAGAAATGCCTCCTCCTCGAACTTTGAGGCAGTTAAGAGGTTTACAAGGAAGACTTGCTTACATACGAAGGTTCATATCAAATTTATCTAGGAGGTGCCAGCCATTCACAAGGCTGATGAAAAAAGATACACCATTCATACGGGATCAAGCATGCCAGAATGCTTTTGACAGCATCAAAGCATATCCTCTAAAACCCCCTAGTATTAATGGCACCAATTAACGGAAAACCCTTAATATTATACATCGCCTCACTTGAACACTCGCTGGAGGCAATGCTTGCTCAAGAGAATGAAGACGGAAAGGAGAATGCAGTTTACTATTTAAGCCAAACACTAATAGGTGTAGAACATAACTACACCTCCATTGAAACCCTTTTTTTGGCTTTGATTTTTGCTATGCAGAAATTACGACATTATATATTATCATGGAATTACTTTAATCTCCAAAGAAAATCCTCTCAGATATCTCATGGCAAAGCCAGTGCCTTCCGGGCATTTGGCAAAATGATCTCTATTGTTATTAGAGTTCAAAATTAAATATGTATCCCAAAAAGCGATCAAGGGGCAGACACTAGTTGAATTCTTGGCTGCACACCCCATGCCAAACAATATGGAGTTGCCAAATGTTTTACTAGATGAAGAGGTATTTTCTATAAAAACCTCACCATGGCAACTTTATTTTGATGGAGTAGCTAGAAAGAAGGGAGTCGAGGCAGGCGTGGTGTTCATCACACCATCAGGGGGCTTGATCGCCTACTCTTTTTCTCTTATGACACTCTGCTCAAATAATATAGCAGAATATGAGGAATTCATTATTGGCCTCAAAATTGCACTTGAAATGAACATTAACTATTTGTATGCATTTGGATATTCACAACTAATTGTCAAACAACTGAACAGCTAGTATGCAGTAAAAATGAAAACTTTCTTACAAGGATAGAGCTAGATATTTAATGGCCCAATTTCAAGACATTCAAATTGCCCACATGATCAGTTCACAATTGCATATCTTTTTGTACCCCTCTAGCTTATGATTTGGTTATGTTATTGAGTCAAACTTGTGCTTTTAATCCCTTTTCTGTTTATCATTCAGTTCATTGGGCCTTAGGTAGCAATGGTGCCTTTGGATAAGAAAAGATGCAAAATGGTGCAAAAACGAGCAGACTGAGTTAGCAACTCATTTCGACCTTAACGTCTTTCTTCCAACTTGGATTGGCCCAAATAATATGTGGTTGGAAAGATGAGAGTCTGAACTTCAAAATGGACTACTCAAATGTATCAATTGATTAAGTCAACCCCAATCCGTGGGCCCATCAAAATACACATCAAATCAGCCACACATGGGAGACAAGACAGCATGGAAACTCAGAAGGATGGGCAGCTGACATTCCTAGAGGCATGGGCTACACATCAAATCAGCCACACATGGGAGACAAAGCAGCAGGGGAACCTAATGGGCAGCTCAGGCAATTGGGAACAGCTAGGAATGGGTGTGCTTCACCAGCCAAAGGGGAGCACGAAATTGCACTCTATAAATAGAGACATGTACACTCATTCAAAGGCAGTCACTCCATTCAGCCTAAAATTCACTTTAGCCATCCTCTAACACTCCCATCCTTCGCCAAACACTCCATTCAGCCCAAAATCACCAAAACAGCTCCAACAAGCCTTCCTCCCATTTCCCTACGAATTTGCCTTTTCTCTGCCATCACCACTCACCCAAACTCATCCCAAATCACCTCTTTAGTTACCATACTCTAGACATGAGGAAGTTCTTGGAGCAGCATTAAACGTGGAGAAGCACTTGGAGAAGCCTTGGAAACCACAAGCAACTTCAAAAATAGGTTTCTCTACTCTTATTGCATTCATTATGTTTTCTCATTTTTGTTTAAATTTCATTTCCATTATTAGTAGCTAAATTCATAACTAGGGCTTCGATGTAACCTAACATGAATATTCTGGGTTTATAAGTTGAAGTTTTGAGTTTCAAGTTTGATTCATGATTCATGTTCCTATTCTTTATGCTTATCAATTAATATGCTTGTTTGGATGATTGATCACCATTAGAACTTGTATATTAGCTACCTTGGTTTGAATCAAGAGTAGACACCAAGCTTTGATTCGAATTGAACTATGAATAAGAAAAGTATGTATGGAGATTCGACAACAGGGATTAGATACATGCTTGGTTGTTTAAATTGTTCTTCTATGCTTAATGGGTTCCTAATGCTTAATTTAGGTTAGACAACAAATGATCAAGTTAGGGAATTAGGAACACAAGGTTAGGACCAGACACCACGACCTAATCATACTTTAGCTAGAATCAATCTTTGAATCCGAATTAGACTTGTCACTTGACTCCTTATAATCCAGAATTGAATTGTTATGGTGAATCGAATGCCCTAGTCTCCCAATCTATTTTCCAGCCTACAAAAAATACTCTTTGTTACATTTGCTCACTTTGCTTTTGTTCGAAATTTCGTTTTGCCTCATTTGTTCAACAATCACAATCACTCTTGCTTTAAATTCTATTTTAGACTTAAACTCCTACTTTCTTGAATTTGGTAATCTAAGTACATAACTAATTTTAACTTCTCAGTCCTCGTGGGCACGACCTCGTACTTGTCTTGCTATACTACTGATTGGCCCGTACAATTGCGAGTTAACATTTTAACAACACCACATCCCAAGGTCAGAAAATGACAAAATTGATGCATTATCAAATATGGCAGCATCTTTATCTCTCAATAAAGAAAGAGACATACAAGTCACTGTTGGAGAGCGTCATCTGGACCCGAGGAAAATTACCAACTAACCCAAGAAAAAGAGTTGACGTTAGGCGTAGGGCAAATCGTTTCATATATCTAAATGACACTTTATACAAGAGATCCTTTGATGGAATACTCCTTCGATGTTTATCAAAACAAGAAGCAACTACCGCCTTTTTGGAAACTCATAGAGGTATTTTTGGTGCCCATCAATCTGGACCCAAGCTTGCAACCTAGCTAAAAAGGTTAGGATATTACTAGCCATTCAATACTTGCAAGGCATGTCAACTACATGGAGATTTCATACATTAAATACATTTGCCTCTTCATCCAACAATACTGTCTTAGCCATTCGATGCTTGGGGATTGGATTTCATAGGCATCATAAAGCCTAAATCTTCTTGTTGACACCAGTATATCTTAGTTGCAATTGACTACTTTTCAAAATGGGCAAAAGCAGTGCCTTTAAAAGTGGTGAAAGCAGAGGATGTTGCAAATTTTATAAAGACACACATAATTCATCATTACGGTGTACCTTCCAAAATAATTTCAGATAATGCCTTGTACTTCAAATGCAAGACTGTGGTCAAGCTCTGTGATAAGTACAACATCTGGCATTCATTTTTTGCAAGTTATAGTCCACAATCCAATGGCCAAGCTGAGGCATTTAACAAGGTTCTTTGCAACATTCTCAAAAAGATCGTTTCAGGAACCAAGAAAGATTGGCATGAACATCTCCCGGAGGCATTATGGGCTTACAGGACGACTGTTCGCACATCAATTGGATGCACTCCATATAGTTTGGTCTATGGATCAGAAGCAATATTACCATTGGAAATTCCATTACCTTCTTTGAGGGTAGCCACACATCTAGTCAACCCAGATGAAAATGTGAAGGTCATGCTAGCTGAGCTAGAGGCACTGGACAAAAACGCCTCTCCATGCAACACAAACTCAAAGTTTACCAAGCTCAAATGGCAGGTGCTTTCAATAGAAAGGTCAAATTCATGTCATTTTCCATTGAAGATTTAGTTCTAACCATACGAAGACCCATTGTCATTACTCGAAAGATGCATGGAAAATTTGTATCAAAATGGGAGGGACCCTATGTCGTCACAAGGGTTTTTGCTAAAGGCGCTTATGAACTGTCAAATCCTGAAGGAACATGCATCTACCCATGTGTAAATGGGAAGTTTGTAAAGAGGTTCTATGCTTAGACAATAGCCCTTTGGACTGAAAACCCGAAAGGGCAGTTCAAGTAGAAGTTAGGACCAAAAAAAAAATTTGAACTACGTGCGGCTTGATCCCTAAAAAGGGGTACGTAGGCAGTCTGGTTTTAACACTAGATGCGGCCACAAGGATCACATAACCATAAAAAAGATCCTCCCCTAAAATCCGAGAGTGAAGTATGTTTGGCTTGATCCCTTCACAGGGTACGTAGGCAATCTAGTTTAACAACTAGATGCAACCATAAAACACACTTCCTCCCCTAAAATCTGGGAGTGAACTACGTTTGGCTTGATCCCTTCACAGGGTACATAGATCTAGTTTAACAACTAGATGCAGCCATAAAACAAACTTCCTCCCCTAAAATCTGGGAGTGAACTATGTTTGACTTGATCCTTTCACAGGGTATGTAGGCAATCTAGTTTCACACCTAGATGCAGCCGTAAATCACCAAAACATTTCTCCTCTCACCAATTGTATTGGCCTGAGGTGAAATTGAGTGCCCGAAATAAAATATCATTGCAGCTTGTCAAACTTAAATAAATGTTCCATTAACTTTATTATTCATGAAGAAAATGATGGAGAAAATAACAAATTGCCAAAGATGTCAATTACAAAGAGATGATGGTTTATTAGGACTTATTACAAAAGGAAACCAATGAATCAATCAGTGTTTGGATCTCCGCTTCCTGTGACTTGCAAGAGGCCTTGATATGCTCAATTTCTAGAAGCTCTTTTTCACCGATACGTGACTGGCGAAGCTCTTCATCCAACTTGTTTTGTTTCCTCATGGAAGTTTTGGCATCTTTGATGTGACAGTTAAGAGAAAGCTTTCCAGAATCATGTTGTTCTCGAAGCATACGAACTCGTTCCTCTACTTCTTTAACAACAAACTCCTGAGCATCTAAGTCTTCAAGCTCTTGAGTAAAATTCGGTAAGTCTGAGTCAACTACCCTTTTGGAGTTTAGACAATCATCATGACGACGAATTAGATCACGAACCCAAGTACCTTGTTCAACAATTCTGGTGTTCTCAGAAATTTGCAAGACACAACAGAAAATTTGGTCTATTGTGTTAACAAACCATTCAAGCTCAGTTTTGCCAAAATCAAGAATGTCCAACATTGACCTCAAGACATTGAACACTGACTTCATTCCTTCATGATGAGCAAGCATCTCTTTAGATGACTTAGAAGAATGAAGTTTATCAAAAATACCTTGCACTTCACCAATAATATATACATGCCTGAAATTCTTCGCCTCTAAGCCAAAAATGTCAAAGATTGATTTTTTATAGCCTTCTAATGATGACATATCATTAGCTAATGGAGAAATGATGTTAACACCACAAGTTCAAGACCTAGCCAATTCTTGCGCCACAATATTGTCATTCGAAGGATTCATTTGCTTCGAAGTTAGAGTTGTCAAGAACCACATCTTTTGTAGCCTTGGCTCTCTCAGGACCTATGCTCAAAGAACCATCGGACTTTGGATAATGAATCCGCTTAAAGTTTATATCTTGACTGCTTCTAGATTAAGAGAAGGTGTCTTCAGTTTTTCTACCTGCCCTCTCCTTCCGCCTCTTCCCAGGATGGGAAGTTTCACTTCGTCGCTTCACACTGATGGGAACTTACATCTTGACTACTTCTAGATCAAGACTTCCTTTTGTAAGCCAGTGGAACTTCTTTCAAATTGGATATTACATAAATCAGTTTTTCCTTGAAAAGACGTTTGGACAGGTTTACATAAACAGTCAACACAGACAAACCCAAGTATGATGTGGTATAACCCATCCACCACCTGCAGTACCAGTACGTGCATTGCCCCATACGAGTAGAACGCAGAATGTAGAAAAGCACTGAAGTGTTTCTCCTCAGAAGTGAAGTTTGAGCTCTGAAAAAATCCTCAACAATACAATGACTCCTCTTGGCATTACCAAAGCTAAGTTTATCAGAAGGAACACCCTGATCAAAACCAAATTGGCGAGTGAATCTATTTGGGTAATATGGCTCCAGCCAAAGTTTGTTATCAACTCTTACAGGGAGTTTGGATGTGATAGGAGCATATTTATGCGACTTTGCTATCTTATTTCTTTGCATTTACTTAGTTAATTCCCATTTATTAGAGTGATTTAGCTTATTTTCGTACTATTGTAGGTCCAGATGGCAAGATTGGCAAGAAAGGGCATTTTGGAGCATTTTAGAGCAGTTTTGGACTTGGAATGGATAGCATATGCATGGGCCAAGATGGATGGACGTTTTTGAAGTTCGAAGAGGCTAGGAATGTGCTAAAAAGATGGGGAAATTAATTCAAGAATCAGCTTCTGGGAAGTAAAAAACCCTAACTTATTTTATTTTACCTTATCCTAATCCTATTCGACCTAAATTCCAGCTGGAAAAGGGGGGGATTAATTTCAGATTAGGAAACCTAAAAACCCTAATTTCGTGGGTTTCTGTTGGGCCCTATAATTCCTAAAGAAATCTGCCAAACAAAACCCTAATTTTGTGGGTTTCTGTTAGGCCCTATCCTTGTTCCTAAAGAAATCTGCCAAATAAAACCCTAATTTCGTGGGTTTCTGCTAGGCCCTTTTACCCTAGATCTACCACATATATAAAGGAGGGGTTTCCTCAGGAGAAGGGGGTTCTTTTGGTGCCGTAGCAAGAAAGGAGAAAGGGAGAAGAAGAACTTGGAGCCGAAACCTGCTGCATCCATTGGGTTTTTCAAAGTTCTTCCCTTGATTAGTTCAAATGTTTATTCTAGATTTCTTTTCAATTATTATGAACATGTGTGACTAAACTTCTTCTTAGTTAGAGATGAATTCAAAGCCATGGACATATGTTTTACATGAATTGATTACTTCCAGTTATGGTTTCATAAAGTATGAATGTGATTTACTTTTCTGTTTTATTGAGGACTTATTCTTGCATGTTTATTAAGGATGCATACTTAGTTTGTATGTAGGGATTTGATGCTAGAATATAAGGGAATTTCACATAATCGTTATGGGATTTGTATGTAGGGATTTGATGCTACAAAAGGAAACCCTGAACCATCCAAATCCATCAACCGTCGTTTCCACCATTGACCCCAATCAACGACCCTATAGCTGAGGTATGTTGAAGCTAATCCTTCCATCTATCAATATATCATACGACTGTTGATTTTTAAGACGCCGGAGCACCATCCCGATTACTATTCTGTCCACCTATATATCATACAACCTTCACAATCTAGTGAGGCTTTGGAGCACCATCCAAATCCATCAACCGTCGTTTCCACCATTAACCCCAATCAACTACCCTATAGCTGAGGCCGTGAACCTGATGGCCGAGAACTGTTCCTCTCTCAGCCACAATCGCTTTGAGCGAAGTTAGATCAAACAGGCGCACTCAATCCATCCATCTATCCATATGCATCATCATCAAATGCACGGCAGACCGTCCTAGCACGCCCGCGCACACCCCATCCAACACAAACTAAGATGATTTGTGTTGGCACATATCCCATCAGCCCGAAACACCAGGCCATAAGATTTGTGCAGTCAACATTTATATTTATGTTTTGTCATAAAATTTCTTTAAATTTTTGTTGTTATTCTCATTTTTCTTAAAACCCAACCACGTGCAGGTCACAAGACAAAAACTTAGATGGACATCCAAAAAATTGATGACAAAATAGTTGAAGTCCTTAATCTACCAAAATAAAACTAGTTCATGAAGGAAATTGACAATTATGGTATAGTTCCCGCGCATAGTTTAGCCTTATCATAAAACAATAGAGTTGTAAGGAAAATTATATGACAACATGTCTATCAAGTAACTCAAAACACGGTGGTCAATAGAAATAAATTGTAGGACATATTTCACTTCTCATAAATTGTCCATTAACATAAATGTTCACCTTTATCGAGATTTTGACACGATCACTGTATTAATTTAAATTTTTATCTATTTATTTAAATCCAAATTTAATAGTAAGCCGATTTAATATTCAAATCACATTATTAACCCAATTAGGATAAGGTTGTTGATCTCATTCCCATTAATTACTTACTCTATTCCCTTTCTTTTTATTTTCATCACTTCTAAGTAAATATGCCACTAATATCCAATGCCTTAGTTCTAATCTATGCCAACCAAGTAACAATTCTAGCCCCACTCTTTTCTTTTTGGTGAAACTTAGGGCCTGTTTGGTATTCAACTTGAATCCAACTTTTTAAACCTAAAACCAGAATTTGAGTCCAAAACAAAGAAAACCTGTTTGGTAGCCCTATTTTTAAAACTTTGAGTCCAGCAATGACAGGGTAATTTTTGGGCTGTTTTTCCAATTGAAAATTTGAGCTATCATTTGGCTAATCGAGTCGAATCTTTTATGGAGGATGTGAGCAATGTTTTTCGTGAAGGTTTCGGCGGCAACGGAGGTCAGATGACGTCAAAAAATGGGCTGGAAGTGGCAGCGCCACTGTGGAAATAAAAAATTCATTGACATCAAATTAAATTATGGCCCAAGTTTAAAGAAGTTGGGCTCATAGCTAAAATGGTCTTGTGGACTTATTGCTAAATTGGTTTAGGCCCAAAATGAATTAATATTAATATTTTTACAAGAAAATATTAATATATTGAAAGCACTAACATAATACGCTTCATGTACGTGACTTTGGAGTGTGGAGTTAAGGGGCTGACTGAAAATGGGAAGTTACTCCCGCATACAGTACCCACACAGTATGTGAGCCCATAACTGGCTCCACTCCTTTCAGTTTCTCTGGGTCTATAAAAAGGGACCATTAGGCAAAAAAGAAGGAGGGAAAAAAAAGGGCGTAGAGGAGAGAAAACATAACAGAAGAGAAATACCAAAACTGCTGCAGAAACAAGCAAAGAAGACACGAAGTTCTGTCACAATACCATTGAGAAGGTATAAACTAATTCATTTAAGTATCCTTTTCTAAACAACTAACTTGCAGGCAAAAAATGTGTATGAGACTATTGTACAGAAGCCTGAAATTCCTCCAAATTTCATATTAAGAAATGTCTGATATCAAGAGAGGTTTCAGCAACGGAAGATGTAAACAAATCCTCTCAAATTGGATATTTACGCAGAGAGCTCCTAGAACGACCTCTCTGTTGTGAATGTACAGATGGGCTTTCGCAAGAACCCCACTATACGGAGTGCTATGAACACCTTGCGAGTGTCCATTTGCATGTTGTGGTACTCAGAGAAGACCTTGAGAGTGACCTTGAGTACCAAAAATATTAAAAGGTGTGCTATATCCCAACCCACCTTCTGCACAACGAAATTCCAGATCTACAAATTGGAGAAAGAAGAGATAGCAAAACATGCTGCAACGAAGAGAATCAACAACTCTATTTTAGTCTTACCCATATGCATAAACAGAAGAAAATATAAAATAATATATTAAAAGATATGTAGATAGTGCCGATTGCTAGAAAGTTTGCAAAAGCTGATGACTCACATCCACGTCTTGTGCTCCAAAAGTTGCCAACGAATCCCAAGCCAGACGGCCCACGCAAGTTACTAAGAGAACACTTGTATTAACCCGATCTTAAATTAATATTTAATTATTCATTTATTCAAGTAAAAGACAATTTTACCCCAGGAATATTTTAATGGGTTTAAAAGTTGACTTTTTATTCGGGAAGGAATCTGGGGATTCTAGTTGTACCACTACATAGAGCACATTGAGATAAGTTCGTAGACACGTAGTGAGCTCAAATCGGAGTTATATTGAAGAAGTTATGATCTACGGAAGCCCAATGGCATAACCATAAATATTTCGAAGCTCAGTTTTTAAAAACCCAGATTTTCTTCATCTCTTCTTCTCCTCCACGAACATTAAATTTCATATAGAGATATCTCCTCTATCCGACCACCAAATCTGGTGCCATAACTTGCAAACTCTTCATCTCTCTCTGTGTCCTCTTTCCATACATACCCATATCTAGCCATGTTTAAACCAGAAAATCGATCAAAAACAAACAGAGCCCAAAACTAGGCTGTTTTGAAACCTGAAATTTCGACGCCATATCCGGCCAACTTTGACCACCATCAGCCACCAAATCACTTCCAAAACACTCCCCTACCTCCCATCCTGACCCAGTTTCAAGTTGAAATTGTCAAATCCAAACCCAAAACTTTCTAGGTTTTTCAAAGAGGAAGTCGTTCGTTCGAGAGCTTTAACGGTTGAATTGATCTTTCAGCCAAGGTATAAAGTTACTCCCCTTGTTATGTTTGATATGTAGGTATGAATATTGGCCGGCAGTTTGGCGGCACTTGGTGGCTCATCGGCAGGGTGTCAAGGTTGGGTTTTGGTCCTAAAATGATCCCCATGTCGTCCCGAGCAATACAGTATGCTCGGATTTCATTTTGGTTACTGTTTGACTGTTGATCTGATATCGCATATTAGGCGTTATTCGTGGTCGATATTTTCGGACTGTTAAATTGACTTCATTTTCAAATATGTTGATTTAGGCACCTCTAGGACCGTGTAGAAATTTGTGGAACGAGAATTGGAGTCCTGGATACTCCGATTCAATAATTCAAAGTTTAGGTAAACAATAACTGTCCGATCGTGCGATCGCGAGCGATCTGACCCTTTGATTTGGATCAAACTTGCAAGGCATGTTTAGTAAATTGTGTTGAACCTATAGGAACTCTCGGATTGGTAATCGGAGGTTGTGGATCCCACAGGGACCGGAATGACCAATATGGGAATTTAATCGCTTATTCAATCTTGCGTCTTTTCAGACAATTCCTCTTGTCAGAAATGTTGGTAATGGGCCTAGGAACCTTTGTAAGTTATGTACACACAATTTTGAGGCCAGGGGTTAGGGTTTTGATTAAATGTTTATGGTTGAACTATTTTATTAATTAAATATTTTAATTGCTTAAATAGGTACTCGAGCTTCATTGAACCCGCAGGAAGGACCCTCGAAGGGTCAGGCTAGCTAGGACGCTCAGTGAGTGGACTTTTGTTTTAAAAATGAATTTTATGCAATAAATGTTTTACTATTTCTCTTGAATGAATTATTTATGGTTTTGCTTTCCATGCAATTAGTTTGAATTCAAATATTTTTATTAAATTCTGTTTATGTTTAAACGTGAATGGCTTGGAAGGTAGAAAAGGAGATGACAATATGATTTAAGGATTTAATGAGAAATAGTATTATATGCTGCCATAGATACCCAAAATGTGGCTTTGGATAATATGCTGCCTTCAGTTATAACGATGTCCACGGACATCCTCGTTGCCTTCGGTTGAGTTAGCTTGTGTTTGACAGTTGTCCCATGAGTCTTAAGGATATCCAGACCATGAGGAGCGAGGAATGCGGCTTAGGTTGACCAAGTGTCCCCTAAGTCTTGCGAGGAATGCTGCTCTGGTCGGCTTTGTGTTAATGGGGCCTGCGAGGATGTGTCGCATTATGTGACAAAGGAATTGACATATTTATAATGGGTACACCTAGGTGGAAGGAAATTATCACTTTTCAATGCTTTTAATTGGTTTTGACAATTTGACTGAATGCGTGATCGGCTATATGTATATAGATACACATACTTGATTTTTGTACGAATATAGTATAAATGAATATAGATACACATGCTTGATATTATATTTTTCCAAAACTTTCTTTTATCCACTCATCCTTTTCAATGTTTTGTACTCCGATGCAGTAGTCGTGTACCAAAGCACCACCTCAAGGGGTCATCACTCATCACTCCTCCCATTCCTCTATGTATGTTGTTTATGTTCTATTGTGTTTTTTTTTTTGTTTTGGTTGTTTTTTTTTTGTGAATTAAGTTCGCTCTGAAATTGCCTCTAGGATTTTTGTAAGGCTTGAGGCCATAAAGATTTGTTGTTGGGTTGCATGAATTCTAACTTTGTGCATGCTGAACGGTTGTGGATATTTGAATTGTTGTTGTATAGGTGAAAAAGTTTGGGAACGAGCAATTTACATGGGAGGCTCTGCCAAATTTTTGGCAGAAGTCAAACCCTAAAGAAATTTTTGAATTTTAGTTAGAAGAGCAATTTGGTCAAGTGTGCTAGGCACCTGCTAGGTATCGGACACACTCAAGGTTATCACTATGAACAATCGGGGCATTTTCGGAGCAAGTGCTCGATGATACTGCAAGGTAGAGAAATTAATGCTGGACCACCTCAGGGGAGTGGTGTGTAGAGTCGAGTGCAGGGTACATCTCAGTTTGTGGGAGCCTCATCCAGTAGTGGGGCCTAGACTAGTGCGGCTAGCAGGGGAGGAAATCAATAAAGAGGACATGGTGGACGTTCCAGAGCAACCGACTAGGTGTATAATATGACTCAGTAGGAGGCATAGGCATCACTAGATGTCATCACAGGTATGTTACCAGTCTTTGGAATTCCTACACGTGTCTTGATCGACCCCAGGGCTACACATTCTTTTGTTGCACATAGTTTTGTCGATAAAGCTTATGTGAGACTCGCGGCCCTGCGTCAGGAGCTTGCTATTTCTGTACCCATGGGAGATTTTTTATGGTTGGTACGGTGTATAGAGATAGTTTGGTTTTAGTAGGGGATGTATTCTTGGAGGCAGACTTAATCCCTTTGGATATCATGGATTTAGATGTTATTCTGGGTATGGATTGGTTAACCAAGCATCATTCGTCGGTTGACTATTTCAGGAAGGAGGTTGTGTTTAGTCGTCCCAGTCGACCTAAGGTGACTTTCTATGGGGAGCATAGAGTTCTTCCATCTTGCCTCATTTCAACCATGATGGTGAGACGGTTACTTAGGAAGGGATCATCAGGATACTTGGCTCATGTAATTGATACACGGGATAATGGATTGCAGTTGGAAGAAATTCTAATGGCACGGGAGTTCCCAGATGTGTTTCCAGAAGATCTTCCTGGATTACCTCCGGAGCGAGAGATTGAATTTACTATTGAACTTATGCCATGAACAAATCTTATTTCTCAGGCGCCGTATAGGATCACACCAGCTGAACTGAGAGAATTGAAAACTCAGTTGCAGGAGTTGGTGGACAAGGGTTTCATCCGACCTAGTTTTTCTTCTTAGGGTGCACCGATTCTGTTTGTGAAGAAGAAGGATGGCACCATGAGGTTGTGTGTTGATTACAGATAGTTGAACAAGGTTGCTAAGGTGTTTTCTAAGATTGATTTGAGATCAGGCTATCATCAATTGCGGATCAAGGAAGAAGATGTACCTAAGACTGCTTTCTGGATGAGGTATGGCCATTATGAGCTTTTGGTGATGCCTTTCAGGCTGACTAATGCGCCAGTAGTGTTTATGGATCTCATGAACAGAGTGTTCCGATGTTACCTAGATCGCTTTGTGATTGTATTCATAGATGACATTCTCGTGTATTTTAAAAGTGAAAAGGCGCACAAGAAGAACTTGGAAATTGTGTTGAGAACTTTAAGGAGGAGGCAGTTGTATGCAAAGTTCAGCAAATGTCAGTTCTGGGTGGACAGAGTGAGTTTCTTGGGGCACGTGATTTCTGCAAAAGGTATATATGTGGATCCCCAAAAGGTGGAAGCGGTGGTAAACTAGCCGCGACCAACTACTGTCACTGAGGTACAAAGTTTTCTTGGGCTAGCTGGGTACTATCGTCACTTTGTGGAGGGTTTCTCTACTATAGAGACACCTCTCACTCGTTTGACAAGGAAAAAAGTTAAGTTTGAACAGATGGATGAGTGTGAAGAGAGCTTCAATGAACTCAAAACCAGGTAGACAACTACCCCAATATTAGCACTTCCTGATGATAGTGGACACTTTGTTATCTATAGTGATGCATCACGACAAGGGTTAGGTTGTGTGCTGATGCAACATGGTAAAGTAATTGCTTATGCTTCTAGGCAACTTAAGAAGCACGAATTGAATTACACCACTCATGATTTGGAGCTTGTTACAGTGGTGTTCACCTTAAAGATTTGGCGACATTATCTTTATGGGGAAACGTGCCAAATTTTTACGGATCAAAAGAGTTTAAAGTATTTGTTCACCAGAAGGAATTGAACTTGAGACAAAGGAGGTGGTTAGAATTGATAAAGGACTATGACTGCACCATTGAAAATCATCCTTGGAGAGTTAATGTTGTGGTTGATGCTCTTAGCAAGAAGTCGTCCGGACATTTGGCTCATCTCTGGGGGAAGTATCTTCCATTTTTGGTGGAGTTGAGGAAGTCGAGAGTTGGGTTAAGTTTGGATGATCAGGGAGCTTTACTTGCTACTCTCTACGTAAGACCAGTGTTGGTTGAATGAATTATTGAAGCTCAAATGCAGGATCTGTTAATCTACGCATTAAGGTTGGAAGTTGAGAATGCTACGAGAACAGATTATTCGGTGAGGAATGATGGAGCCTTGATAGTAGGAACAAGACTGTATGTTCCTGGGGATGAAGCACTAAAGAGGGAAATTCTTGAGGAGGCCCACTGTTCGGCCTTCGCCATGCATCCTGGTAGCACAAAAATGTATCGTACCTTGAGGCAGCATTATTGGTGGCCTTTTATGAAGAATGAAATAGCAAAATATGTTAGTAAGTGTTTGAATTGTCAGCAAGTCAAGGCAGAGTGCCAGAAACCATCGAGGTTGCTGCAACCACTTCCTATTCCTGAGTGGAAGTGGGAGCGCATTACTATGGACTTTGTGTTCAAACTTACTTAGGCACGGAGCAATCATGATGGAGTTTGGGTAATAGTGGATCGACTCACCAAGTCTTCTCATTTTCTACTGGTTAAAGTGACTTATACTCTGAATAAACTGGCCAAAATTTTTATTGCTGAAATTGTAAGATTGCATGGGGTACCAATATCTATTGTGTTTGACAAAGATCCTCGGTTTATATCCCTTTTTGGACAAAGTTGCATGAAGCATTTGGGACTAAATTAAGGTTTAGTACTGCATTTCATCCGCAAACTGATGGACAATCGAAAAGAATGATTCAAACCTTGGAAGATATGTTAGGAGCTTGTGCGCTACAGTTTCAGGGAGATTGGGATGATAAACTACCTCTCATGGAGTTTGCATATAATAATAGTTATCAATCAAGTATCGGGATGTCACCCTATGATGCCTTGTATGGAAGGCAGTGTAGAACTCCAATTTATTGGGATGAAGTGGGTGAGCAAAGTTTGGAAGTATCTAAAGACGTTGAAGCAACAAAGGAGAAAGTTACACTGATCAGAGAAAGCTCAAGGCAGCCTAGGATCGACAAAAGAGCTATGTAGACAATATAAGGAAGGATCTTCAGTTTGAAGTTGGTGATTGGGTGTTCTTAAAGTTGTCGCCTTGGAAATGTGTAGTGAGATTTGGAAAGCGGGGGAAGTTGAGCCCTCGTTACATTGGGCCATATGAGATTTTGGAGTGTGTGGACCCAGTAGTCTATGGACTTGCTTTACCTTCGAAACTTTCTCGATTACAAGTCTCCATGCTCCGAAAGTATATTTCAAATCCTTCCCATGTTCTGGAGTCACAACCAATATAATTGAAGGATGATTTGAGTTATGTGGAGCAACCAGTTCAGATTTTGGACTGGAAGATTCAAGTATTACATTCTAGAGAAATTCCACTTGTGAAAGTCCTATGGAGGAGTCACGTTCTGGAAGAGTCCACTTGGGAACCCGAGGAGCAGATGCGGACCTAGTACCCTTACCTCTTCGAGTGACAGGTATGAAATTTTGAGGATGAAATTTTTATAAGGGGGGTAAAGTGTATTAACTCGATCCTAAATTAATATTTAATTATTAATTTATTCAAGTAAAAGACAATTTTACCCCGAGAATATTTTAATGGGTTTAAAAGTTGACTTTTCGTTCGGGAAGGAATCCTGAGATTCTAGTTGTACCGTTGCATAGAGCACGTCAAAATGAGCCCGTAGACATGTGGTGAGTTCAAATCGGAGTTATATTGAAGAAATTATGATCTACGGAAGCTTAATGGCATAATCGCAAATATTTCGAAGTTTAGTTTTTAAAAAAACCCAGATTTTCTTCATCTCTTCTTTTCCTCCACAACTTGCAAACTCTTCATCTCTCTCTTCTCTTTCCATACATACCCATATCTAGCCATGATTCTAAGCGATTAAACCAGAAAATCGATAGAAAATAGAGCCCAAAAATGGGGTGTTTTGAAACCAGAAATTTTGACGCCATTTCCGGTCAACTCCTGCCTCCACCTACCACCAAATCATTTCCAATACACTCCCCTACCTCCCCTACGTGATTTTTCTCAAAGAGTAGACCCAATTTCAAGTAGAGATTGTCAAATCCAAACCCAAAACTTTCTAGGTTTTTCAAAGAGGAAATCGTTCATTTGAGGGCTTTAACGGTTGAATTGATCTTTGAGCCAAGGTATAAAGTTACTCATCTTGTTGTGCTTGATTTGTAGGTATGAATACTGGCCGGCGGTTTGGAGTTTTCCGATCGTTGGAAAATTGCTCTACACACCCGTCGGCAGTGGCGGCGCGTCGGCGGGGTGTCAAGGTTGGGTTTTGGTCCTAAAATGATCCCCACGTCATCCCGAGCACAACGGTATGCTAGGATTTCATTTTGGTTACCGTTTGAATATTGATCGGATATTTCATATTAGCCGTTGTCCGGATTCGATATGTTCGAACCTTTGGATCGACATCATTTTCAAATATGTTGATCTAGGCAGCTCTTGGATGGTGTAGAAATTCGCCGGTAACTGTCCGATCGTGCGATCGGGAGCGATCACACCATTTGATTCGGACCAAACCTGCAGGGCATGTTTAGTCATTTGTTTTAAACCTATTGGAACTCTCAGATTGATAAATCGGAGGTCATGGACCCCACAGGGACCTAAATGACCAACACGGAAATTTAATCGCTTATTCAATCTCGAGTATTTTCAGACCATTCCACTTGTCAGAAATGTTAAACTGTTATGTACATGCACTTTTGAGGCGGGGGGTCAGGGTTTTGATTGAATGTTTATGGTTGAACTGTTTTATTAATTAAATGTTTTAATTGCTTAAATAGGTGCTCGAGCTTTATTGAACTTGCAGGAAGGACCCTTGAAGGGTCAAGCTAGCTCGGATGCTCAGTGAGTTGACTGTTGTTTTATTAATGAATTTTATGCAATAAAAGTTTTACTATTTCTCTTGAATGAATTATTTATGGTTTTTCTCTCCAAGCAATTAGTTTCAATTCAAATATTTTTATTAAATTTTGTTTATGTTTAAATGTGAATAGCTTAGAAGGTAGAAAAGGAGATGATAACAGGACTTAAGGATTTAATGAGAAATAGTATTATAATTTTTCAGGAAAGGTTTTTGAACCACCATAATTACCCAAAATGTTGCCTTCGGATAAATTGTTGCCTTCATTATAGTGATGTCCACGGACATCCTAATTGCCTTCGGTTGAGTCATCGTGCGTTTCATAGTTGCCCCATGAGTCTTAGGAATGCGGCTTAGGTTGACCAAGTGTCCCCTGAGTCTTGATTTTTGTACGGATATAGAACATGGATATAAATGAATTTTAAAATTTTTTAACAGTGGGGTTAGTATGTTGATATTCTATTTTTTCCAAAACTTTCTTTTGTCCACTCACACTTTTAAATGTTTTGCGCCCCGAGTCAGTAGTCGTGTACCAGAGCACCACCACAGGGCGGTCATAACTCATCACTCCTCCTTTTCCTCTGTGTAGGATGTTCTCTTGTAACTATTCTTTTTTGTAAATTATTGAATTAGCTTGCTTGGAAATTACCCTAGGATTTCCGTAAGGCCTGAGGCCATAAAGAGTTGTTGTTGAGTTACATGAATTCTAACTTTTTTCATACTGAACAGTTGTGGATATTTGAATTGCTATTGTACATGTGAAAAAGTTTGGGAACAAGCAATTTACAGGAGAGACTAAGCCGAATTTTTGCTAGAAGTCAAACCCTAAAGAAATTTTTGAATTTTAGCTAGAAAGGCAATTTGGTCAAGCATGCTCGGCTCCTGCCAGGTTTCGGATACACACAGGGTTTGGCGCAGATTCCAAAGTGGAATTTGGGTCAGAACCTGTCAACACTCCTATGTAGCAATTTTCAAATATCATAAAATGTTCTCACTATGTTATTGGTAAGACATGAGGCAAATGAGACAAAACAAAGTCATTATCTCAATTGGTGGTATGATAACCCTCCCAATAGATCTCATACTACAAATGGAAATATGCAATCAAATGAAAAAAAAAATTACACCAAAGCATCATATCGTTGTTACAAAGTTCAAATAAGAAAAGGAAAATCCCCAAGACACTAGAAGGGAGCAAAGAATTCCAAATTGTCTTTGGACCCAACAAAAACATAGTCAAGACTTCAAGGAAATGATGAAAATAAAATCACAGAGATCCCAAAAGAGAAGAGATTTTATTTTCCTTTTCTCTCGACACCAAAAACAAGGGTGCATGACAAACAGCCAATATCATATACAGGGCCGCAAATTAATGGTTTAGGCAAATTAATGGTTCAGGCAAGAAGCCTCAACCTCTTGCCATGCCCAAGATGGAAGAAGAAAGAAAAAAAAAGGGGGTTTGGAAGAACAGGAAGAAACCAGCAAAAGAAAGGAAGAAAAGCACACAAAAAAAAAAAAAAAAAAAAAAAAAAAAAAGAGAGAAGTAGCTCTGTACTTTGACAAACAGACGCTGCCTGTTTAAGTTCCCATACTCTCAATTAATAGTTTAATGGGCCATATAGTCTAACTCTGACAGAAAGGAGCAAAGGAAAAGACTAACCTTGTTTCAATTAGCAGATGCCTCTCAAAGACTTTCGGACATTGACTTTTTGTTTATAGGCCAACTAATAGAAATGGTAATAAATTAATGGGTTGACAAAACAAATTACCCATTGTAGGGGTCTTTTTATTCCAGCAGCCTGACGAATGGGCTTGGGCTGCCGTAAAGAGAAACTGGTAAAGCGCCCCCTGTATCTGGGTTCACGAACCAGGCTCCAAGAAGGTTTTGAAAAGTTTGTGAGAACCTTAGAAAACACTTTGGGTATCTTTCACCAGTAAGTCAACAGTACGTGATAAGTTATTAATACAACTTGCTTGAGGAGCTTGTTGCATGGGAGCTAAGCCTTCACGAGTTTAGCAATTTGAGAGAGAGATAAAGGCATGAATTTCGTTCTGAAAGAAAAGGCTCAGAACAAGGAGGAGTTACCTAAAGGGAGATTTCTCTCTCAGGAAGAGAGAAAACTAAAGAAAGTAGGAGATGGGGTGTCTTGAGCAAATTCCCAGTCGCTTGACAAAGCTTGGTCGTGCTCTGGATCATGATCTTGCTGGGTAGAGGAAGCTCCCTCTATAGGCATTTAGAAACCTAATTCTATCGATCCTCCATTCCCACTTTTCCTTTGCTTCTTTCCATTCACTCCTACACATATGGATTTCCTTTAGTTCCTACAATGGCTTCTCATTGACTGTTATGGAGCTTTGACAATGGTGGAATACAATGCTAGATTTTTACAAAGCGCTGGGCTGAGCTTTGTTTACAGTATTGGGTTATTGGTACTCTATTTCCAGCGGCCTGTGGGTTTTTGTCAAGTTGCTGGAAGTAGTCCATTTTCTTTATTTTGGGCATTTTAACAAATGTGGGATTGTATAAGTGTTGCAGCAGACTATTAAATGTTCTCCTAAGGCATTAGATCACTTTTTTCCCTCTCTCATGCTAACCCATGTGTTTGGGCCAGAGGAATGGGCTTGAGTTTTAGTGCTGCCAAGTGGCCTAAAACTTTCATTCCTTGAACCCTCAATGGGCCCTGTGAGTGCTTGTATCCGTCCATACCACAATCTTCTCAGCAAGCCCTGAGTAATTATGTGTCTTGGGCTCACTTAAGCCTGTAGCACGACATGGTATTAGAATAGTAGTCCTTTACATGGCATTGCATGTTTATTTAGCATGCTTGTGCTTGAGTTCTATCATGCCGCAATAAGCTATGATCGGGCCAAGTAGCATTGGATTGGTTAGTAAGCGTGAATTTATAGAGCCGGTGCATTTTGGCCCTTTTGCGTGGGAGGTGTGAACGTTTACTTAGTGTGACGCGTGGCCCATGGCTCGCGCCGGTGCATCCTACAAGTTGTCTTATGTCCCAATTGGGCTCCTTTTGTGATCAAATATTTGTGCTGGGCTAGTAATAAACCTGGGCTCGACCTTTGGATTTTTGGGTCTCAACATTAGCCTCCTTGATTATTGGGGCCATGAGCAAATATTGAGATGGGCTATATAATCAAACCTAGCCCAGAAGAAAAATCAAATCCACGTTGGTGATATGACCTTCTCGTTTCCTGCGTGTGTGCTGATGCTATGATTATCTTCTAGTTGCATTTTACGCTCCCGAAGTAAGCGCTCCATCAAAACCTTATTTATTTATTTTTTCTTTCTTTTTTCTCTTTTTTCTTAGCTTCTTTCTCCCTTGCGTGTAGACTCAAACCCTCTTACTTGGCTCTCTTGATTTTTGCTGGTTCTTCGTCGTGCCCAGATTCAGAGGATCCTTGGAGACAAGAAAGTGTTGAAGGGCGCCATTCATAACTGCTAGACAGTTAATCGTGAAGAAACCGTTCGCACCCACTGAGTTTGCCCTGTAAAAATCCAAAATTTTTCGAGTTTCCCCTTCAATTCATCCAAGGCCAAGCTTGACGAGGTCACTTCACAGAGCGTGAGGCATCTTGGAGAGAAAATCGCAGGGCAGTTCCCAATCGCCTTCTCTTCTCTCTCAATTTGGCAAACTGCTGGAAAAGGCGCAAGCGAGACCAGTGGTAAGCGTCGTTATTCTTTGTTTTCTTCTTATGTTTCTTCATCTTGTCACTGCATATGTATGCATGTATATACATATACATATATAGAGGTATTCACACATATATAATCTGAGAATCCTTCACGAACAGGGTGTTTGCGATTTTCCTCAGTCTTTCTTTTTGCTACATGTTCGTTTCATTCTTTGCGCCCATCTTTGTAGCTTGAATTTTGGATATGAACCACTGGTTAGGGATTTTTAGGCACCCACCAAGAGATAGTTTGCCTCGATGGAACACAAAGCCTTAAATAGCGTCGGGGTGAGGTAGGAAAAGCACAAGCATGCACTGTATCAAATATCCCTGCTTTTATCCAGGAATAGTCAATCCATCTCCCCTCTAAATGATTAACTCCTGTAACTTGGGTTTTCTTTTACACTTGTATCAAATAGTCTCTCATTTTTTTGTCGGATGGAATTGTACAAAGGCACTGGCTTGATCGTTTTGTAGGTATGGCCTTGGCATGAAATTGTAAGAATGATAAGGATGTGAGTATGCGTGCATGTGTTTTTCCTGCCCCTCTCCCTTTTTTGTTACAGTGGGGCTTTGAGTCTTCAAACCAGTAATTGTGAAAGTGCCGGAACTTATCCATTTTTTGTTCCGTCCCCGTTTTTTGTGCAGATATCTATGACTCTGTGGGTGTTACTATGGCATCCACCAATCTCCCGCCAATCATAATGGATCATCTCTATTCCATGGATGATAATCTTAAAGCAGGAGGGCCCCTTTTGCTACTCGAAGAAGCCCGTGAGAATCCTGTTGTAGGTGACGAGCATCCGCCTGAAACTACCCCCATAGTTGAACCTGCCTCCATATCCAGGTGCTGCATTGAGAGAGGCCTATTTTCGGTTTTCCCCTTATTCTTTTAGTATCCTTGCAACATCAGTAAAGGTTGGTCAGAGTGGGTTGACCACGAGCTATTGGACCCATCTACTTGCGACATTTTAAGCAGGGCACAGGTTCTTAACGCCATTTTTCTTTCCAAGCTGTGGGACATTCATATTGAGGCAAAGATGCTCCGCCATGTGGTCAGGAGGTGGAGCACAGCTACTCACACCTTTGTATGTTCATGGGGGGAATTTACCCCTACTCTTAAGGATGTAGCAAACATTTCTCGCCTCCCTATTTGTGGCAACTAGAACCCCCTTTGACATTGCTCTTACCCCAGAAGACATGAATAAGCTTGCAATTCTACGAAAAGGTGCCTCAACTTCTCCCAGCACCTCGCTTCGATCAGCAACTAGGTACAATATTTCCGGGATGCAAATAGACGGGGACCTTGCTGGCTAGTTGCATTTATATCCCTATGGCTTGGGCGATTCATACTTTGTGATTTCTCTCAGGACTACCTACATGAACGAGTATTCCCCTTGGCTTTGGCCATAGCTCAAGGTGACAGGATCCCCTTAGCCCCCATGTTCCTGGGACACTTATATCAGCTACTTAATCAGACTCAGCTTTTTGAGAAAAGCGCGGTGGGAACCATGGGTGTGGAGACTCTCTTGAATTCTAGTTTTTTGCATGTGTTTTTATGGGAATGTCTGAAAGGACTGGATGTATACCCGCTTCCCTATTCACGTGCTATACAGCTTGCTAACTTGGGCAATGGTTCCTTCATGCCGGATGGTCTCCTCTTAATCTGCCGGTGGATTAAGCGGATGCAGAGGAAAGGCCAGAACTTCTTAAAGTTATTGGAAAATATTGAAAACTTCATTTTCCGTCCTTACGACGCCTTGGCAGAGGCTTTCACTTTCGTGCCCTTTTATGCTGATGTTGGTGATACTGTTGAGGTTCCGACAGCGATGTCGCAAAGCTGCCGTTTCAAAAAGTATGCTATGTTGAATGTTGCCTGTCTCCCATTACCTACTCTAGAGGACAGCTTCTTAGAGATTTCTGTGATCTAGTCGCCACATCGGGTTAGGGGACAGATTGGGCTTGATCAGGGAGTACCAACCAGTCCTAGCCATAATGACCCCTTTGTGCTACACAGGGCCTTTTGGAGCAATAGTAATGTACTAGATAGTGGTACGTCTTAGCTAGCAGGGGAAGAGTTGGGGCTTCTCGCGGATCTATCAAGCCTACTGGAACTGCTGTCTTGCCTCTTTCCGTGGATTCCAATCCTTCCCTTGCGACAGACTGCCACCTACGACGACTCGCATTGTTGGTTTGGTGTCAGAAGAGAAAGCCATCCCTCTGAGTGAGAAACGCAACCTCCCCTTTATTTCCAAACTTGGTGACATTGTTAGTGAATTTTCTAAATCTCGACAAAAGCTGGGAGCGTAAAGTCCTCGTGGTTTTGAAAAAAGCACGGTTCCAGTATTGAAAAAGCGGAAGCGGGAAGAAAACCTTAGCATAGGGAAAAGGCAAGCTGTCACTAAAGACACGAGGTTCATTCCCAAAGTGGCCTCAACTGGTCCTCCTCGAGTTGAAGAAACAACTCCCCCGGGACGTCTACAGCCTTCAAAGTCCATTCCATCCGAGAGCCAGGAACGTGCTGGGACACTTATACAATCTTCAAAGTATTAACCCAATTCTAATTCCCCTTCTCTTTTTCTTTACTCATTATATATGTACCACCCCAAAGAGGGAAAGAAGTGATACAGCCCTTATAATCCCGCATGTGACTCCAAAACACTGTAGCATGCACATCCTGCAGGCAAGATTCACCAGTGCCCATACAAGCAATAGCAGAGCTTCCAGGGCTGGAACTGTGGTGACTATTGATGATGATACCATCGAGACTGAGGCTAGTGCCCCGAAGCAAGAGGACGTTTGTGATGTTAGTGACACGCATGAGGATCTTGATGAGGACAACTACTATGATTGCGATGAGGATGCATTCGTACACTCTGGTGCTTATTCGGAAGCACAGGGTGGCTCAAATAGCTCTCCTGAACTTGCCAGCAGCAGTGCATGCCGTTTTAGCATTGAACCGGTACTTGGCATACCTTACATCATGTTCCCCTTCTATTTCTTGTACTGCGAGCTGCCTGTTTATCTTTCACCTTTACCTTGCAAGTTGCCAATATTACTGAGGACTCAGACCTTGCCGTCGCCATCGTTGACTTTACGCAGGGCGCCCAAGAGGTATCCCTTGTTTACTTCCCTTGTTCTTGCTTGCACTTGCTTGGTTAAGCAGTTGCCTTCTTTTTAACTCCTTTGCTTATCTTCGAACACATGTAATATAATCCGCTGATTGACTCATGTCACTCATAATATGGAAATCGTGCCTGTGGTGCGCTCTTTCTCCGACACACTCAATACACTGGCTGAGGCGGCCCTTGCTGAGTCATCTCCCATCATGACATCGGCAAATCCTTGGCACAATGCATCTTCTCCTCAAGCAATGAGTTCCTTACTGCCTGTTCTTCAGTGCTTCCTTCAAAAAGACCATGAGCCTACTATTTTGATAGCTCTTCCCGCGGTTCTCTGGAGCAACACCCTTACATTCCATGGAACGTTGCCCATTCCACTCCACATTCAGCCACTCCTCCAGAGAAGCTTGGAACCTGGCATACCAGCATGCTTTCCATTGATCTCGTTCAGCGAGAAGGCCACTGATGAGAACCACTGGGTTGGTGATACTGCTGCCAAAAACGTTTCTGTGGAATGTTTATCGAGTCTGTCTTGGTCTGAGTGGGAGAGTTCCTTTACTACGTTCAAGGCCTTCTTCAATGGTGGTGTTCGGATCCTTCGGTCCATCAATAAGCTCCTGCCACTCTGTTATAGGTTCGATGGCTACACGATATTTGAGGAAGTTCATGGACAGGTGTGGGGGTTGAATGGAAGTTGTAGGCAAATTCTTCTTCCTTCTCGAGGAGCGCTGCCTTTCGGGCCCTTGGTTTAGTGCTTCATGGGTTGGATACCATGCAATTTCTAGACATTACGAAGCTCCTTTGTTGGCGGGATGCCATCTGCGAAGCCATGAACTTAGGGTTTCAGGTGGACCTTCTCCTGAACTTAGTGAGAGATTTGGCACGCTCTGTGTTTGGGGCACGGGCCATTCATAGCATGAGATCGTTGCCTGGCCCTGATGAAATAAAGACTGTAATAGACACCTTGAACCTTAAGCAACGTGAGTTGGAGACCCAGCATCAAGAACTACGTGCCCTTCTTCTTGCCCAAGGTGTTTCTACTGATGGTGCTAACTGTGTGGCAGAAGCAGCAACTAGATCTTCTCATAAGGCCTCCTCTGTTCTTTTTAGTGACATCCGTTGGTTTTGAAGTTCCTGACTTTTCATCCTTTCCTAGATGCTTCTGAACTTGTATTGTAGCAACTTTGTATTGTAATGTTGTTGTGTTTAAGCTACTGGAACCTATGTCCTTTTTCTTTTTTTTCGAATGCTAGAAGACACATTGTAATTCCTATTTGGTATATATACATGCTGCCTGGTTGGTGGAATTCTTTGCTTGAGATCTTCTTACAGGTTGGGTACCATTTTAAAACAAGGTAGATGCTGCCAAAATTTTGGTAGGATCTTTGCTCAAACTTCTTGATACCTATTTTTCCCTTTTTTTTTTTAATTATAAAAAAAGTCACCCCTAAAGGCTCCTGGATGTTGTGGGCATCCTAGTTTCTTTGTAAATGCTCGGCTTTGTGCGCTCCATTTTATTTTGCTTAAGCATCAAGCTTGTTAATGATTTGGGATCCTATACTAGTGACTTTGCTTGGCATGCTTTTGCTTAGTTTTTTTTTTTTTTTTTTTTTTTTTTTTTTTTTTTTTTTTTTGGCCTAATATATATATATATATATGTATGTATACATACACAGGAGTTTGAGACGCAAAAAGACAAATTTCCAAAGACAGTTTTTTTTTTCAAAACACTCCTTCATTTTCATTTCAAATCCCATGCTACCATGATGATGCATCTTACAAAAGTTTCCCAGAGCAAAAGGAGGGAATATAGAAGGAGACCATATTTAAAAAGAAATGCAATAACACAAAAGATAAGATACCATGCCTACTTAGCAGTACTAAGGCTTGAGCCACTTTCCATTGATAGGATCCGTTAGCTGGCCTTCCTTGACAGAGATCAAGCGATAAGAGCTGCTGTTGTATACTTCCTTGATTGCAAACGGGCCTTCCCATTGCGGAGCAAAGTTGGAAGGTCCCGACACTTATCTTCTTACATGCTCAACAACTTTTAGCACGAGATCTCCTTGCTTGAAAGCTTAGGGCTTGACTGTTCTGTTGTATGCTTGGGCAACCGTTTTGTGGTAAAGTGCCATTTTTCTTTTAGCTTCTACTCTTTTTTCATCCACGGCTTCGAGGTCCAATAAGCGCTAGCCTGAGCATGACTTCACATCCCATTCAAGGTTGTTGACAGCTGATACTCTGGCAGTGGTAGTGGTGATCTCTACAAGTGAGATAGCATCCGACCCATATATGAGTGAATAGGGTGAGAAGCCGGTGGTGCTTCTCAGAGAGGTGCGGTAAGCCCACAAGGCATCCGACAGATGATACTCCACCCACCTTCGTACTTATACACCATTTTGTTCAAGATCCTCAATATAGTTTTGTTGGTGGCCTCCGCTTAACCATTTCCTTGTGGGGAATAAGGTGTGTGTTTGCGCCTAATAAATCACGGTCATAAACTGATTGAAGGGACTTCCTCTCGGTCCTGGCGCCTATCGTTTCGTTAAGCATTTCGCCTTCCTGAAAACAAAAGAAAAGCTGCAAAGGCAGAATCCTCTCGGCCTCGCGACCGCAGTTTTGAAGGCCAAGGCCGAAGGCCGTAAAAGACAAGGCCGAAGAAGCTGTGGTTAAATCGCCACGTGGCCTCAGGGTCCCACACCCCATTTAATGAAGTAATGCCTCTAACTTTCGCAGCAAACCCACTAGTCGCAGGAAGCATTTAATGCACAAGGGAAGAAGGGAAGTGACTAAAGTCAGGATTTGGTGATGGAAATCAGGGTGGTTAGGCGCAGACATTCTCACAAGTAATCTTACGACTTGAGGTCAAATCACCAACCACCAGACCAAGGCATTAAATGCGTTCCCATGGCCAAGGGGGCAGAACCCACGATCAGGGCGGTGGCCGAGATTTATCGAGATTTATGGGGGTCACACCACCATGCTTCTCAACCCCAAACCACCATGCTTCACGATCCCAAATGCCGATTTGACTACCCACTTGCCCCGATCAGGCTCCACCATGCAGGTCTTTTCAGCCTCGATTGTCCCTCCAGGACTCCTCCTATAAATACTAGGCCCAGGACTACATTCAAAGGGTTCAAACACCAAACCAAAAGCCTTCCACGGAGCAAATTATATTTTCCTGTAATGCACTTTCAATACCTTTATTTGCTTTCCTAGGAGTAGTGGTAGATTGTAAGGAAAATCCATTCATCAATATATCATACGACCCTTGATTTTCAAGGCACCGGAGCACCATCTCTATTATCATCTCATTCACCCCATATATCATACAACCGTCGCTCTCTGAGCAACGCGCCGGAGCACCGCCCAAAACCTGCCACCAACACCACCACTAAATGGCCTTGTAGCTCAGGCCGTGAACCTGACGGCCGAGATCAGTTCCTCTCTCGACCACAATCGTTTGATTAGGAGTCAAACACAAAACAGGTGCAACATTTAACCATCTTCTACCCGAACCTCATCATCATCTCGACGCACGGTAGACCGTGCTGGCACGCCCGCGCACAACCGCACCGCATCCAAAAGAAGGACATCACGTGTTGACGCACATCCCCTGGGCCCGGAGCACCAGGCCATGAGATTCACAACAGCCAACAGTGTGGAGTGACGATGCTTGATACCGTGGCCACTAAGTGTTGAGCTTACTTGCTTGTTAACAAAAGGCGTACCATTGTTAGTAACTATTTTGTACGGGATTCCAAACCTGCACACGATGTATTCTTGAAGAGGAATTGCCTCGACCCACTTTGTAAAATACTTCGTGGCAGTGAGGATCTATATTTAACCGTCAGAAGGGGGATGGATTGTCCCAATTAAGTCAAGCCCCCAAGTATGAAAAGGCCAAGGAGTGCGCATGTCCTGTAACAACGTGGGAGGCTTGTGACTTAAATTGGCATGAATTTGGCATGTGTGCCATCTTTTGACAAATTCATGTGCCTTTCTTCATGGTAGGCCAGTAATACCCAAAGCTCAGTAGCTGCCCGTGAAGCCTCTTCATTCCCTGGTGCTCTTCTCACTCTCCAATATGTATTTCCTGCAAGTACCTCTTCACTCTCCAATCTGGTTCTCCCAAGCATCTCAATGGTTCGCCATTGAACCTTTTATGATAAAGAGTCCACCCATCTACGAAGTACCTCTTCACTGTCTTCTTAAGCTTCTAGGCATGTTTAGAGTTGGTTGGCAGGGTCCCTTTCATGAAGAATGCTGAGTATGGAGCCCTCCAATCTTCTGCGAATGAGATAGCGAAAGATTCTTTAGTAGAGGGCATTGTAGAACATGCGGGGCAATTGGACTGAATTTCAACTGCTTACTTCTTCATCTCTGGCCAATAATAACCTTTGCGTTGCAAACGTCGATACAAACTGACCACTAGCTCCAAACTGCAAGTGGCGCCATGTACCTCTAGCAACCTCCTTTGTGCTTCTGCCGCTCCTATGCACTGGGTCAAAATACCCCCCGGAAAACGTCTGTAGAGTTCTCCAAAGATGATTGCATAGTCTTTCAAGTCCTTGATGTTACTTCCTTCGCCTATCTTTTCTTTGACTAGTTTTCTCCAGTTCTCTTCTTTTTCTAGCTGCTCTTCTTGGAACATTGCTTCGATTATGGTCATGTCTTTATTATGGTGATATTAGGCTGCTCTTCGACAAACGAAAGCTTTGACCCCAATGTAGCCAAAGCGTCAACATACCTATTGGTGATCCCCGGAATATGCTCCAGCACGATTTGCTTGAAGGAATTAATAAGCGTTTCGGCAGCTGTACGATATGGGGCCAAAGTTGCCTCTTTTACAGTAAAGTTCCCTTGCAATTGACTTAGCACCAGATTTGAGTCGCCAATGACCTTCATTCTTTCCACGCCCATTTCTCTTGTGGTAGACAGTCCCATAACAAAAGCTTCATACTTTGCTACATTGTTCGTGCATGGAAAATTTAGTTTGAATGAGAGGGTCGTGGCTTGCCCCTCAAGGTTAATGAGTACAACACCTGCGCCTTCTCATTTCGATGTAGAAGAACCATCAAAGTAGAGAGTCCACGGTTCCTCTTCTGTAGCAATGGCCACTATTTTCGGCAGCTCTCCCAAAACCTCTTCGGAGAAAGTAGAATCCTCCACTTCAAGAAATAGAGCTAGCATATCAATCACGGCTTGTCCCTTAATAGCTTTAGGCGTTGTGCAAGTGATATCAAATTCGGACAGCTGTAGCAACCGATGTGCAAGACGTCCGGATAGCACTGGCCTCGTGATCAAGTATCTTACTGGGTTAGACTTTACTATGAGCTGCAGCTTGTGAGCAAGGAAGTAATGTTGCAGGCGTTGCACAGCATAGACGATGGCAAGGCATAAGAGCACCATCTTCTGGTATATTGTCTCTACTCCTCTTAACTTTCTGCTCAAGTAATAAATAGGGCCCGCCCCCCCCCCCCCCCCCCCCCCCCCCCCTGATCAATCTTGGCCAAGCAAAGCCCCAACCCGCAACGTTCGTTGTTGCCAAATAAAGCTTGAGTGGAAGTCCCGAGATAGGCACCTTCACTGTGGGTAGCTTGGCGATCAATTGTTGCACTTGTTGGTAAGCTTCTTGGCATTCCTTGCCCCATACATACGGTTTGTCCTTCTTGAGTAAATGAGTGAAGGCACCCGTTATGGTAGCGAGGCCTAGGATAAAGTGTCGAATGTATGACAGTCTTCCCATGAAGCTCTTCAATTCCTTTGGATTCCTAGGTGGTGCAAGAGAGTTTATGGCCCTAGTGCCACGTTGGTGCACCTAGAACCATAGAAACTTGCCGGATGAGACTCTGAATGCACATTTCTTTGGGTTCATCTTCAAATCGTATAGCCGACACCTTTCCAGCACCTTCCTCAAAACCTCTTGATGGCTTTCTCTCGTTTTTCACTTCACCACAAGGTCGTCTACATAGTCTTCCACCTCTTTTCCCATCATATCGTGGAACACCGTTGTCATGGCTCTTTGGTAGGTGGCTCCGGAATTCTTAAGACCGAATGGCATGACTGTGTAATAGAAATTCCCGTATGGTGTTCGAAAGGGCTGTCTTCTCTGCATCTTTAGGTGACATCTTTATCTGGTTATAGCCACTAAATCCATCCATGAATGACAGGAAGCCTGGCCTCGAGGTTGAGTCGATCAAGATATCCATATTGGGCAGTGGGAACTCATCCTTTGGGCAAGCTCGGTTGAGATCTTGATAGTCTGTACATACTCTAATCACTACGGTCTTCTTTTTCACGGGAACAATATTTGCTAGCCAGGTTGGGTGCTTGATTGGCTTGATGAATCCAGCAGCTAATAGCTTTTCAATTTCCACTTTGATTTGCATTTCGATTTCAGGATGAAAATTCCTTCTTGGTTGCACAACAGGTTTTGTACCAAGCTAAATATTCAAAGTGTGACTCACTAAGTTTGGATTTAGGCCAAGCATTTCCTCGTAGCTCCAAGCGAACACATCTCGGAATTCCTTTAACAGAGATATCAAAGCTCCCCTTTCTTCGCTTGTCAAGTGAACGCATATGGAGATGGGTCTTTGGACATAGGGGTCATCACTCAAATTAATTGTTTCCATCTGCTCGGCTACCGCAGTTGAGCCATCTTGCATATGCCTAGGTGCTGTCATAGGTTCTTGAAAAGCGCTAGGCATGGGTACCTTGTCTTCGGGACCCTTATGGCTGCTTGTTTGCATCACTTCTTCTCCATACTCGGGGCTTTCCCATAGGACATGGTTGAGCCCCCAAACCCGTCATAAGCAATACACCGTGCGTCCATTTGGCAACGTCACTTTTCAACATTGGGGCTGATCGTAAGCATGGTTGTTGACCTCTTAGTGTCTCTTCCTTTCTCAATCAACAATGGTTAAGAGCTCCTCGTTGCTCAGATCCTGAATTTCAGTCCATGAAGGTAGATAGGTCCCGAAATCCTTGGATGGGTTGCTTCCAGCACCTGTGCATTCGGTGTAGAATTCTGCCTCAGAGTAATGGGCTTCGTTTTGGTTGAACGGCGCTTGATTCCCTAGTATGCGAAGTGGTCTCAACCCAATGCTTCCCTTGACGCATTGATGGTCTCAACCCAAACATTCCTCGGTACGAAAGTCATCTACTCACCGTAGGACATCTCTATAAAGCAAGGAATTGAAAAAGAAGATTTCAAAGAAATCGAAGATCATACAAGGAAAAGAATACGAACAGCAACCAAGGGCATCAGTTACCCTTGCTGAATTTTTACATGCTAATTCTCTCAAGAAAAGCTACAAAGGAAAGGAAGGATGCTTTAATTGTTTCATGACCTCGTATGAAACCTCTGAAGCAGCAGATCAAACCACACTGCAAACTGCACCAGTCGTTCCTGATAAGTTAAAAATGACAGAAATTCCAATTTCTTCAAAAAGATTTAGAATCGATAGGGCCTCATTGGTAAGTGCTACAAGATCTCGTACATTGGAACCCATGGTTATGGACCCAAATCCATTAGTATGGAACATTTTCTTTTCCAAGTGAAATCCCTTGGTATATGAAAGAGTGAAAAAGTGCTTTCGTTGTTGTGGAATAAGAAGCCTTCGTATCTTAATGCATGTATTTAATTTATTCGGAGCTATTAGAGCGGGATCCATTTTTTTGGGAATATGAGTCGAAGCAATAACAAGAATATTTCTAGTGGAACATCTTTCACAATCCCTGGAGAGATAGTTCACTAATAGACCGAGACCAGTTAAAGCAAGTAGTTCCAGATCTCAGCAAGGACAAACTTGTGCCAGGGACCAATCACAACACGATGTAGTGGCTCATTTGAAACATCAGAAAGGAACTTAGAGAAGCACTCTAAATCCCCAAGATGTTTAGAACTAGTTTTAAGCCAGCAAATGTAGCTATTACATCACCAAAATATTGTGCTTGTTATTTAGCAAGCATCACATTTGATGAAACTGATATGATGCTTGGATCTGAGTTCCACAATCGACCACTTTATGTTAGCAGAGAGGTTGGAAATACATTGATCAATCGAATTTTCCTTGATTGTGGCTCAGCAGTAAATATTTTTCCTTTAAAGACAATTCATATGATTGGAACGAGTGCTTGACAGTTGTCACCATCTATGTTGACGATTCAGGGTTTCAGTCAAGTCGGACAAAGAGCCATGGGCACCATAGCATTGCAAATGGAAATAGGGGAACTTTATTCTGATGCCCTTTTTCATGTCATTGACGCTGACACATCTTACAATGTGCTTTTGGGACGCCCCTGGCTCCACACATATGGCATTGTTCCTTCTACACTACATTAGTGTTTTAAGATCTTATCAAATGATGAAGTCAAAAGGGTCTGATCCATTTAGAGGTGAAGAAGTTAATTATTCATATGCAAAGTTCTATAAATCACCAAGCCTTACCTTTGTACAGCCGCAAAAGGCCAAGCAAGAGCTAAGCATAGAAACAAGAGGAGCCTCATGGACAACAAAGCCGATCAAAATAAAGATCACAACACCTTCTAGTGTTTTCCCAAATAAAGAGAAGACTTCAAGTTCAAAGATAGCTTTCAAATACTCACCAAATGACCAAAAATAGACAGGTTAAAAAGCACTTGAGACGCTCATGACAACATACACACAACCACTACACATGATTAACTATTCAATCCTATGATAATCTCAACTATTTTAAAGAAGAACAACGGTTGGCATAACCACATTGTGTTTAACGGAAATCCAACTATTTCGAAGGAGAACAATAGCCAACGTAACAGTGTTGTGTTCTTTGAAGGAAATAGGTCGATGAGGACATCATCTTCAACTCCACTGAAGATAAAATCCAAAAATGACAAAGTCAGAAAGAACTGCATTGACGTCTCAGTAAAAAAAGAAAATGGCATGCTCAAGGTAAAAGGTCTAAAGACAGAAAGAGATGAATCAATACTTCTGACTGACTTTGAAAAATCTGTTTGATGAAACTAAGTCAAGCAATAAACCACCCCACATCTTAGTTTTGAACGGCTTGGAAACAAAGCAAGTAATTGTCCAACTCGCATCTCAGTTTTCGAAAGACTTATAGGCATTGCTACCTCACAAAAACTTCAAAAGAGTAAGAAATGGAGAGTCAAGAAAAGCGTGATGAAAAGTTCAGGGCAATCTAGAGATGTTGAGGCCACTCAAGTTAACTATGTCTCTATTGCAAATGATAACCCAACTGAAAACGAAGAGCATGAAATCTGGACTCCTGATAATGAGCCGGTGGAGTTTATTGATAATGTTTAGCCAGCACCATCCCAAATTGAACATGGAGGTCAAGCTACTGTGGATGAGCTACAAGAAATTAATCTTGGTACAAATAATGAGCCTAAACCCATTTTTGAGAGGCCCTACAAACTCCAAATGAATTGTAAAATTATAGGCGCCTTCTTCAAGAGTACCGAGATGTATTTTCATGAGGCTATCAAGTCAATGTCATTGTGTGAAGTAGGCTCCACGAAGGTTTCAACCAATAGGTTCCACGACGGTTTCGACCAGAGCTACAGGTACAAATAAATGCTGAAATTAACAAGTTGATAAATGCTAGGTTCATTCGAGAAGTCCAGTATCCTACTTGGTTCCCAAGCATTGTCCTTGTAAAAAAGAAGAATGGTCAAATACGTATCTGCATAGATTTCAGAGATCTTAATAATGCATGTCCGAAAGATGAATTCCCTCTCCCGATTACCGAATTATTGGTGGATGCAACGACTGGATTTGGGGCATTATCTTTCATGGATGGGTTTTCAAGATATAACCAAATCAAAATGGCACCTGAAGATGAAGAGCTTACTGCATTTCGAACCCAAAAGAGGTTTATTGTTATACTGTGATGCTGTTCGGTTTGAAAAATGGTGGTGCAAAATACCAAAGAGCCATAAAAATCATCTTTAGCAACATGCTACATAATACCATCGAATGTTATGTGGATGATTTGGTTGTAAAAACCAGAAAGAGAGCATCATTTAAATACCTGAAACAGGTTTTTGATATGCTCCGAAAACATGAGTTAACAATAAACCCTTTGAAATGCACATCTGGAGTGACGTTAGGGAAATTCCTGGGTTTTGTAGTGAGACACCGTGAAATCAAAATTTCCAAAATCAATGCAATCCTAGAAATGCCTCCTCCCCGAACTTTGAGGCAGTTAAGAGGTTTACAAGGAAGACTTGCTTACATACGAAGGTTCATATCAAATTTATCTAGGAGGTGCCAGCCATTCACAAGGCTGATGAAAAAAGATACACCATTCATACGGGATCAAGCATGCCAGAATGCTTTTGACAGCATCAAAGCATATCTTCTAAAACCCCCCAGTATTAATGGCACCAATTAACGGAAAACCCTTAATATTATACATCGCCTCACTTAAACACTCGCTGGCAATGCTTGCTCAAGAGAATGAAGACGGAAAGGAGAATGCAGTTTACTATTTAAGCCAAACACTAGTAGGGGTAGAACATAACTACACTTCCATTGAAACCCTTTTTTTGGCTTTGATTTTTGCTATGCAGAAATTACGACATTATATATTATCATGGAATTACTTTAATCTCCAAAGAAAATCCTCTCAGATATCTCATGGCAAAGCCAGTGCCTTCTGGGCATTTGGCAAAATGATCTCTATTGTTTTAGAGTTCAAAATTAAATATGTATCCCAAAAAGCGATCAAGGGGCAGACACTAGTTGATTTCTTGGCTGCACACCCCATGCCAAACAATATGGAGTTGCCAAATGTTGTACTAGATGAAGAGGTATTTTCTATAAAAACCTCACCATGGCAACTTTATTTTGATGGAGTAGCTAGAAAGAAGGGAGTCGAGGCAGGCGTGGTGTTCATCACACCATCAGGGGGCTTGATCCCCTACTCTTTTTCTCTTATGACACTCTGCTCAAATAATATAGCAGAATATGAGGAATTCATTATTGGCCTCAAAATTGCACTTGAAATGAACATTAACTATTTGTATGCATTTGGATATTCACAACTAATTGTCAAACAACTGAACAGCTAGTATGCAGTAAAAATGAAAACTTTCTTACAAGGATAGAGCTAGATATTTAATGGCCCAATTTCAAGACATTCAAATTGCCCACATGATCAGTTCACAATTGCATATCTTTTGTACCCTTCTAGCTTATGATTTGGTTATGTTATTGAGTCAAACTTGTGCTTTTAATCCCTTTTCTGTTTATCATTCAGTTCATTGGGCCTTAGGTAGCAATGGTGCCTTTGGATAAGAAAAGATGCAAAATGGTGCAAAAACGAGCAGACTGAGTTAGCAACTCATTTCGACCTTAACGTCTTTCTTCCAACTTGGATTGGCCCAAATAATATGTGGTTGGAAAGATGAGAGTCTGAACTTCAAAATGGACTACTCAAATGTATCAATTGATTAAGTCAACCCCAATCCGTGGGCCCATCAAAATACACATCAAATCAGCCACACATGGGAGACAAGACAGCATGGAAACTCAGAAGGATGGGCAGCTGACATTCCTAGAGGCATGGCTACACATCAAATCAGCCACACATGGGAGACAAAGCAGCATGGGAACCTAATGGGCAGCTCAGGCAATTGGGAACAGCTAGGAATGGGTGTGCTTCACCAGCCAAAGGGGAGCACGAAATTGCACTCTATAAATAGAGACATGTACACTCATTCAAAGGCAGTCACTCCATTCAGCCTAAAATTCACTTTAGCCATCCTCTAACACTCCCATCCTTCGCCAAACACTCCATTCAGCCCAAAATCACCAAAACAGCTCCAACAAGCCTTCCTTCCATTTCCCTACGAATTTGCCTTTTCTCTGCCATCACCACTCACCCAAACTCATCCAAAATCACCTCTTTAGTTGCCATACTCTAGACATGAGGAAGTTCTTGGAGCAGCATTAGACGTGGAGAAGCACTTGGAGAAGCCTTGGAAACCACAAGCAACTTCAAAAATGGGTTTCTCTACTCTTATTGCATTCATTATGTTTTCTCATTTCTGTTTAAATTTCATTTCCATTATTAGTAGCTAAATTCATAACTAGGGCTTCGATGTAACCTAACATGAATATTCTGGGTTTATAAGTTGAAGTTTTGAGTTTCAAGTTTGATTCATGATTCATGTTCCTATTCTTTATGCTTATCAATTAATATGCTTGTTTGGATGATTGATCACCATTAGAACTTGTATATTAGCTACCTTGGTTTGAATCAAGAGTAGACACCATGCTTTGATTCGAATTGAACTATGAATAAGAAAAGTATGTATGGACATTCGATAACAGGGATTAGATACATGCTTGGTTGTTTAAATTGTTCTTCTATGCTTAATGGGTTCCTAATGCTTAATTTAGATTAGACAACAAATGATCAAGTTAAGGAATTAGGAACACAAGGTTAGGACCAGACACCACGGCCTAATCATACTTTAGCTAGAATCAATCTTTGAATCCGAATTAGACTTGTCACTTGACTCCTTATAATCCAGAATTGAATTGTTATGGTGAATCGAATGCCCTAGTCTCCCAATCTGTTTCCAGCCTACAAAAAATACTCTTTGTTACATTTGCTCACTTTGCTTTTGTTTGAAATTTCGTTTTGCCTCATTTGTTCAACAATCACAATCACTCTTGCTTTAAATTCTATTTTAGACTTAAACTCCTACTTTCTTGAATTTGGTAATCTAAGTACATAACTAATTTTAACTTCTCAGTCCTCGTGGGCACGACCTCGTACTTGTCTTGCTATACTACTAATTGGCCCGTACAATTGCGAGTTAACATTTTAACAACACCACATCCCAAGGTCAGAAAATGACAAAATTGATGCATTATCAAATATGGCAGCATCTTTATCTCTCCCTAAAGAAAGAGACATACAAGTCACTGTTGGAGAGCATCATCTGGACCCGAGGAAAATTACCAACTAACCCAAGAAAAAGAGTTGACGTTAGGCGTAGGGCAAATCGTTTCATATATCTAAATGACACTTTATACAAGAGATCCTTTGATGGAATACTCCTTCGATGTTTATCAAAACAAGAAGCAACTACCGCCTTTTTGGAAACTCATAGAGGTATTTTTGGTGCCCATCAATCTGGACCCAAGCTTGCAACCTAGCTAAAAAGGTTAGGATATTAATAGCCATTCAATACTTGCAAGGCATGTCAACTACATGGAGATTTCATACATTAAATACATTTGCCTCTTCATCCAACAATATTGTCTTAGCCATTCGATGCTTGGGGATTGGATTTCATAGGCATCATAAAGCCTAAATCTTCTTGTTGACACCAGTATATCTTAGTTGCAATTGACTACTTTTCAAAATGGGCAAAAGCAGTGCCTTTAAAAGTGGTGAAAGCAGAGGATGTTGCAAATTTTATAAAGACACACATAATTCATCATTACGGTGTACCTTCCAAAATAATTTCAGATAATGCCTTGTACTTCAAATGCAAGACTGTGGTCAAGCTCTGTGATAAGTACAACATTTGGCATTCATTTTTTGCAAGTTATAATCCACAATCCAATGGCCAAGCTGAGGCATTTAACAAGGTTCTTTGCAACATTCTCAAAAGATCGTTTCGGGAACCAAGAAAGATTGGCATGAACATCTCCCGGAGGCATTATGGGCTTACAGGACGACTGTTCGCACATCAATTGGATGCACTCCATATAGTTTGGTCTATGGGTCAGAAGCAATATTACCATTGGAAATTCCATTACCTTCTTTGAGGGTAGCCACACATCTAGTCAACCCAGATGAAAATGTGAAGGTCATGCTAGCTGAGCTAGAGGCACTGGACAAAAACGCCTCTCCATGCAACACAAACTCAAAGTTTACCAAGCTCAAATGGCAGGTGCTTTCAATAGAAAGGTCAAATTCATGTCATTTTCCATTGAAGATTTAGTTCTAACCATACGAAGACCCATTGTTATTTCTCGAAAGATGCATGGAAAATTTGTATCAAAATGGGAGGGACCCTATGTCGTCACAAGGGTTTTTGCTAAAGGCGCTTATGAACTGTCAAATCCTGAAGGAACATGCATCTACCCATGTGTAAATGGGAAGTTTGTAAAGAGGTTCTATGCTTAGACAATAGCCCTTTGGACTGAAAACCCGAAGGGCAGTTTCAAGTAGAAGTTAGGACCAAAAAAAAATTTGAACTACGTGCGGCTTGATCCCTAAAAAGGGGTACGTAGGCAGTCTGGTTTTAACACTAGATGCGGCCACAAGGATCACATAACCATAAAAAAAATCCTCCCCTAAAATCCGAGAGTGAAGTATGTTTGGCTTGATCCCTTCACAGGGTACGTAGGCAATCTAGTTTAACAACTAGATGCAACCATAAAACACACTTCCTCCCCTAAAACCTGGGAGTGAACTACGTTTGGCTTGATCCCTTCACAGGGTACATAGATCTAGTTTAACAACTAGATGCAGCCATAAAACAAACTTCCTCCCCTAAAATCTGGGAGTGAACTATGTTTGACTTGATCCTTTCACAGGGTATGTAGGCAATCTAGTTTCACACCTAGATGCAGCCGTAAATCACCAAAACATTTCTCCTCTCACCAATTGTATTGGCCTGAGGTGAAATTGAGTGCCCGAAATAAAATATCATTGCAGCTTGTCAAACTTAAATAAATGTTCCATTAACTTTATTATTCATGAAGAAAATGATGGAGAAAATAACAAATTTCCAAAGATGTCAATTACAAAGAGATGATGGTTTATTAGGACTTATTACAAAAGGAAACCAATGAATCAATCAGTGTTTGGATCTCCGCTTCCTGTGACTTGCAAGAGGCCTTGATATGCTCAATTTCTAGAAGCTCTTTTTCACCGATACGTGACTGGCGAAGCTCTTCATCCAACTTGTTTTGTTTCCTCATGGAAGTTTTGGCATCTTTGATGTGACAGTTAAGAGAAAGCTTTCCAGAATCATGTTGTTCTCGAAGCATACGAACTCGTTCCTCTACTTCTTTAACAACAAACTCCTGAGCATCTAAGTCTTCAAGCTCTTGAGTAAAATTCGGTAAGTCTGAGTCAACTACCCTTTTGGAGTTTAGACAATCATCATGACGACGAATTAGATCACGAACCCAAGTACCTTGTTCAACAATTCTGGTGTTCTCAGAAATTTGCAAGACACAACAGAAAATTTGGTCTATTGTGTTAACAAACCATTCAAGCTCAGTTTTGCCAAAATCAAGAATGTCCAACATTGACCTCAAGACATTGAACACTGACTTCATTCCTTCATGATGAGCAAGCATCTCTTTAGATGACTTAGAAGAATGAAGTTTATCAAAAATACCTTGCACTTCACCAATAATATATACATGCCTGAAATTCTTCGCCTCTAAGCCAAAAATGTCAAAGATTGATTTTTTATAGCCTTCTAATGATGACATATCATTAGCTAATGGAGAAATGATGTTAACACCACAAGGTCAAGACCTAGCCAATTCTTGCGCCACAATATTGTCATTCGAAGGATTCATTTGCTTCGAAGTTAGAGTTGTCAAGAACCACATCTTTTGTAGCCTTGGCTCTCTCAGGACCTATGCTCAAAGAACCATCGGACTTTGGATAATGAATCCGCTTAAAGTTTATATCTTGACTGCTTCTAGATTAAGAGAAGGTGTCTTCAGTTTTCTACCTGCCCTCTCCTTCCGCCTCTTCCCAGGATGGGAAGTTTCACTTCGTCGCTTCACACTGATGGGAACTTACATCTTGACTACTTCTAGATCAAGACTTCCTTTTGTAAGCCAGTGGAACTTCTTTCAAATTGGATATTACATAAATCAGTTTTTCCTTGAAAAGACGTTTGGACAGGTTTACATAAACAGTCAACACAGACAAACCCAAGTATGATGTGGTATAACCCATCCACCACCTGCAGTACCAGTACGTGCATTGCCCCATACGAGTAGAACGCAGAATGTAGAAAAGCACTGAAGTGTTTCTCCTTAGAAGTGAAGTTTGAGCTCTGAAAAAATCCTCAACAATACAATGACTCCTCTTGGCATTACCAAAGCTAAGTTTATCAGAAGGAACACCCTGATCAAAACCAAATTGGCGAGTGAATCTATTTGGGTAATATGGCTCCAGCCAAAGTTTGTTATCAACTCTTACAGGGAGTTTGGATGTGATAGGAGCATATTTATGCGACTTTGCTATCTTATTTCTTTGCATTTACTTAGTTAATTCCCATTTATTAGAGTGATTTAGCTTATTTTCGTACTATTGTAGGTCCAGATGGCAAGATTGGCAAGAAAGGGCATTTTGGAGCATTTTAGAGCAGTTTTGGACTTGGAATGGATAGCATATGCATGGGCCAAGATGGATGGACGTTTTTGAAGTTCGAAGAGGCTAGGAATGTGCTAAAAAGATGGGGAAATTAATTCAAGAATCAGCTTCTGGGAAGTAAAAAACCCTAACTTATTTTATTTTATTTTATTTTACCTTATCCTAATCCTATTCGACCTAAATTCCAGCTGGAAAAGGGGGGGATTAATTTCAGATTAGGAAACCTAAAAACCCTAATTTCGTGGGTTTCTGTTGGGCCCTATAATTCCTAAAGAAATCTGCCAAACAAAACCCTAATTTTGTGGGTTTCTGTTAGGCCCTATCCTTGTTCCTAAAGAAATCTGCCAAACAAAACCCTAATTTCGTGGGTTTCTGCTAGGCCCTTTTACCCTAGATCTACCACATATATAAAGGAGGGGTTTCCTCAGGAGAAGGGGGTTCTTTTGGTGCCGTAGCAAGAAAGAAGAAAGGGAGAAGAAGAACTTGGAGCCGAAACCTGCTGCATCCATTGGGTTTTTCAGAGTTCTTCCCTTGATTAGTTCAAATGTTTATTCTAGATTTCTTTTCAATTATTATGAACATGTGTGACTAAACTTCTTCTTAGTTAGAGATGAATTCAAAGCCATGGACATATGTTTTACATGAATTGATTACTTCCAGTTATGGTTTCATAAAGTATGAATGTGATTTACTTTTCTGTTTTATTGAGGACTTATTCTTGCATGTTTATTAAGGATGCATACTTAGTTTGTATGTAGGGATTTGATGCTAGAATATAAGGGAATTTCACATAATCGTTATGAACTTATATTCACAAGTAGTAAAAGTCACTAGTCATGATTGCGTGAAGTAAATTCCTGGCAGGAGTATCATGCTTTTCATAGTTACAATTGCCTTGTCAAGGCTTATGATTTTCATAGAACTTAATGATCTTTGATATGTATCTCTATCATGCTGTTCATATAGGGAACTTGATAAGGATAATTTGATTGCGTCGCTGAGTCCAATTCAATGAACTTAGGAAAATCTGAGAGTTATTTAGTGCATTCACAATTAATTTGGGGCTTTGTCATTCATACTTTATAGAAAGAGTAACTGGAGATCGATTTGTGTGCATATGTTCCATGTGTGGAGAAGAATCCTCTAGCTATCCCTTAATCCATATTTCATTCACAACTTAGTTGTTTGCTGCTGTCAGTTTTACTTTAGTCTAAATCGTCCAAATTCCCCCCCAATCATTGTTCCCTTAACTTAGTTTCCAGTTTAATAAGTTTAATTTGTGTTGATTAGCATCCCTCCTAATCCCCGGAATAGAACGATCCCTACTTACTCGTACTACGATTGCATAATTTATAGGGTTTAATTTGTGCGTTAGTTATTTCTCACGCCAGGATGTATGCATACAAACTAATATCTCAAACTTGTCATCTGACAATTTTTCATCATCCATAAAGGTAAGACCATTCTGCATATCAAAAGCAGTAGGACAACATCGCATGGATATGTCACTTCTAAAATAATATTGGCCTTGAAATGTCCATATCGTTAACAGCAATACCAGCATATCTAGTTAAATGAGGATAACTAGCTGGAAATTCAATATCATTATGGCATCTATACAAATAGGGAAAATACTCACCCATCCACCCAATGACGTAATGAACCGGAAAACAAGCTAAAGAAGTACCAGGACCTCTCAGACAAGTGACAGTTTCCCCAAGGCCATGATATATATAGCCCAACACAATTTGTGCAACAGAAACTTTTACTCCTCAAGCCATCAAACTAGCCATGTAAAAAGTTTCCGGCCTTATCTGAGAACCTCTTGACGGCAAAGCAAATCTACTAAGAAAGAATGATAAGAAGGCAGTTAATTTTTCTTCTGTTGATATCTCTAGATTTAATTTTCGAGCCATCAGATTTTCTCTTGGTTTTAAGATGTTTCCTTCACCAAAAGTTCCATAAATTATTTTTCCTCTGAAAAAATGTGCTACCCACTGGTCCCAGAATACACATTTTTCATCATAAAGTGAGCTGAGCTGAGAATAAATTAAAGAAGTTCCTGAATGGTTGACGGATACATCACTTCACGCTGCAAATCCCGATTTACAGGTATAAACTCCTCATAAGGAACTCCTAAAATGGGTAAACCCCCAATAATTTTCAGGTTGTACAACGATATTCCCATTTCATCATTTCCTTGGTGCAAAGTGTTGGTCAAAGGCACCAACAACTCCAGAAAGGCTTTCCAGACATTTAGCGAATACATATAAGGGTAGCGACAAACACCTACAACACCACACATTTCAGCACAAAATAATACCTCTTTGAAGTCTCGTAAAATGGCCTTAGTCCACTCTAGGATGCCAAGACGAGACTCTACCAAACCGCAAATGCTTAGCTTGCGTCCCCCAATTTGTTTTGTTTTTTAGCATTTTACATAAAATAGGAGGAAAATCATTTTCATGGCCAACTTAAATGTCACCATCAGTATTATTGTTGACCTCCATCTAAGTGCAGGCTTCCAACTTTGGACCGTGAACTCGACAAACCTTAAGAATTCCGTCATCAGGAATAAACTCTCAATATCCAGAGTTCACATTCTTAGTGGTAATCCAAGTGACTTTATTCTCAGGAGGTGCATCAATTTGAACTAAGGTCAAAGGCATAGACCTATCATATTCTTCACCAATTGGAAGCCCTTTCTTATCAAGCACTCATTGGACGTATAATTATCTTGAGCCAATTCTTAACAACTAAAATGAGTTATTAAAAACAGCAACTTTAATTCTCGCAAGTGCACGAAATGTTTATAGTATAGCTTATGTAAATACGAGGTCGATCCCACGGAGAATGGTAACTTGGTTCCAAGTTAAATTACTTAGAATGCTAGAAAAACATAGAACAAAGAAACTAACTGACTAGCTAAAGGCAAGGTCGAATTCAACAATGCCTCTTGCTAATTACTCAAGGTCTAGGACAGAATCCTAGCACCACACACGCACTCAAAATGGGGGGTTTTGTTGTTGAAATTAAAAGAAGAAAGTGAAATGAAAGAAGAAAATGAAATGAAAGTGCTTGAAAGTAACACTCGACAGATTGTGAAACAATAATTGAGAAGTGTTAGAGTCGTGGAATCCACCACTAGTTTTCCTATCCAAGTTATGAATGCATAGAAATTTACTCAAGCTTCATCAACAATAGATTATCGCATACAAGCCTATGGTATCTAGGTGCAAGATGCATGATTCTCCTCAGGCATGTAATTGTGCATGGTATCTACACAACACATGATCTCTAATATGCAACATAAGCATGGTATCTACTTAGAATAAAGCATACAAGAGTCATTAAGCTCCATGAGAATATGATAATCACACAAGTCCTAGAACATGGTATCTGTCCTAGTCAACCTATGGTTATTAACCCCTTTGAATGATTCTTAGGCCATTCATATGTTGCTTGTGAAAGGAGAGTAGAATTGGTGAATCTAAGCCCCTTCCCAACCTGTGCTAGATGCATAAAATCCTAGTTAGCTACTCCAAGAAAACACACATCAAGCACATAATAAACTGGAGATTAACAACTTGATAATGAAAGCAAGGAAATCAATTAACTATAAAATCATCCATAACATTGAATATTCATGACTAGGGCTTCATCCTAAGCCCTAACTAAATGGATTAGTTAGACATAACTATGAATAAAGAAAATAAGAAATACATAGATAGAATAAAGAGAAGAAAAGAACTAGCTGGCAGCAATGTAGTTCCCAGGACAGCTCCAAGCTCTCTTCTCTCTTTGTGGTGAATCTGAATGTGTGTATGAGAGTAATGGATGAAGTGAAAATGTGCATCTGACTCCCCTTTGAATGAGTGTGCAGCTCTCTATTTATAGAGTGCAATTTCGTCCTCCCCTTTGGCTGGTGAAGCACACCTCTCTTAACTGCTCCCAACTACTCCAG